TTACTACCAGCACTCGGGAGGCAGGGCCAGGCATATTTCTGTGAGTTCCAGGCCAGCCTGGTCTCCAGAGCAAGTTCTAGGACAGCCAGCACTACACAGTGAGACCCTGTTTCTAAAAGACAAACAAACAAAAATAGTTCACTATGATTTTGTTATAGGACAGCAGGGATGATTTCTCATTTTGGCTATACACTAGAATCATGTTTTCACCATAGGCCAAGTTACAGGGCCAGTGACAGCCTTCACATTTCAAGGGCTTCCCATCGCTGTCCCTCAAGTTCATGGAAGGCCATGAGCTCCAGGGACACCCTTTGCCCTGGAACCTGGATGTCCTAGTTGCTTTGATCTTGAGTTGTGTTTCTTCACAGAAGGCCTCTGGTAGCAGAGGAACAAGGGCCTCATAGTGACTCTTGCCCTGACCCAGAAAGTCTATGTACCACTTCTACTCACACCGAATGCTGAGGGCCCAGTGTTCCAACTTAGTGCAGGAGCAGGGCCTTTGCACCCACAGGCAGATAGGTCATCTCTGGAAAGTTCTACCCAAAGAATCATTTGGTAATATTGGGAAAAATATGCATGCCCTGGCTTTGCCAGGAAATCTGATTCGGCTGCCCTGAAGATGGACAGATGTCCCTAGTGATTCCAATGCAGATAGTGCCTGGGTGACATCGGAGAACAGCAGCTATAGAAAGCCCAACCCTTTCCCCACCTGACTGTCGGCGAGCAGAGACAGGACTGGATTGACACGCATCTAAGAGTGTGGAAAACAAGTCCCTGTGCCACTCAGTTGTGAACTATGTGGCATGCTGCTCTGCCGCGGGACGCTGGGCACGCTCCCCTCCTTCTGGTGCTCTGCCCCCCCTCTGTGGTGCTTTTGCCAGGCCAGTCACCGCTGAGAGCGATGGGGAAGGCTCTGGTGGGGTTTGGGTCAGGATCTTCTAGACGCTGTAGTGCGCGCAGAGCCATGCGAGCGCGCCCGCTCAGCTCTGTGTACGTGCACACACACACTCACGCGCTCTCCTGTATGCTCCGGGAGACAGCGTGCGGAAGTGAGGAGGGTCTTTCATTGGAGCCTGACGCACAAACTCACTGCAGATTTTACCCATCCGTCGGAGCCCAGAGGCATCGCAGCATGGTCGTCATCACCCTGCTGGGTGACCCAATGCCAATTGCTAGCAGGCAATTCTGCCCACACGGATGCTGCTTGGCAGCCTGTGAGTGACTCATTCGTTCCTCTAGGAGCTGTTCAATTAGGAGTTCTACTTACCTGCTGCTCAGCTGGAACCCCCACCCCCACCAGCACAAGAAAGCAAAACACCACTCCAAGCAGTGCTTTAAACGCACTGAGGAGATTCCGTTTTCCCGCACACAGAACAAAGCCAAAGTTTGGTCCTGGGGACCTTTTGGTTTAAACTGTACCAAGCCTAGGGTGTATCCGTAAGCCTGGACCCTGTTTTCTAAATAAAGTACTTCTACTTTTTTTATAGTTTTCTTTTAGCTGTGGAAGTGAGTCCATATATGCAGAATAAACACCCAACAGTACACTGGATAAGCAAATCCACCCCCAGCTCTCGCCTGTCAGTCACCCAATGGTGGTACTCTTGTGACATTTAGATATTTCTTGCCTGTACTGATGTGTGTATTGTTTTTTAAAAACCCAAGTGGATGGGCTGTACATCATTTGTTGGTCTGAAATGTGCTGGTGTTGGCACTTTGGTGACAATGTGCTGGTGTTGGCACTTTGGTGACAATGTGCTGGTGTTGGCACTTTGGTGACAATGTGCTGGTGTTGGCACTTTGGTGACAATGTGCTGGTGTTGGCACTTTGGTGACAATGTGCTGGTGTTGGCACTTTGGTGACAATGTGCTGGTGTTGGCACTTTGGTGACAATGTGCTGGTGTTGGCACTTTGGTGACAATGTGCTGCTGTTGGCACTTTGGTGACAATGTGCTGGTGTTGGCACTTTGGTGACAATGTGCTGCTGTTGGCACTTTGGTGACAATGTGCTGGTGTTGGCACTTTGGTGACAATGTGCTGGTGTTGGCACTTTGGTGACAATGTGCTGGTGTTGGCACTTTGGTGACAATGTGCTGGTGTTGGTACTTTGGTGACAATGTGCTGGTGTTGGCACTTTGGTGACAATGTGCTGGTGTTGGCACTTTGGTGACAATGTGCTGGTGTTGGCACTTTGGTGACAATGTGCTGGTGTTGGCACTTTGGTGACGACGTGACCCTGGCACTCCCCTCCTCCCAGTTGTCACCCTGCTGCTTACCCAGGCACTAGCAGAGGAGCATGTATGTCTTCTAGGTTTTCAGGATCACAACCATTCTCTACTTTTCAAACAAGATTCCTGTCTTGTCGGTCCCATTGTGCGGACTGGGAGCTTCCGGGGGGCCTGGCCCTTTGTCTCCAGGGATCCGCACTCTTCTCTGGGCAGGCTCTGCCTCCTCCAGCTGTTTGCTCCTGCCTTCCTCGTTGAGTTTTTACTGACTGACTTAGCATCAGGGGCAGACAAGGTTGTCACACCCTAGCGTCCAGGGAAGAGCAGTGAGGCGGCCCCCAGGCAGGGGAGTGAGTGGTTGGGGCTCACTGACTGCCGTCTGCAAAAGCGTGTGTGTGTGTGTGTGTGTGTGTGTGTGCATGTGGGCGTGTGTGTGTGTGTGTGTGCATGTGTGCCTTGTGTGTGTGTGTGTGCATGTGTGCCTTGTGTGTGTGTGTGTGCCGTGTGTGCGCGCGCGCATGTGCGCGCGTGCGCGTGTGTGCCTTGTGTGTGTGTGTGCATGTGTGCTGTGTGTGTGTGTGTGTGTGCATGTGGGCATGTGTGTGCATGTGTGCCGTGTGTGTGTGTGCATGTGGGCGTGTGTGCCTTGTGTGTGTGTGTGCGTGTGTGCCTTGTGTGTGTGTGTGTGCATGTGTGCCTTGTGTGTGCGTGTGTGCCGTGTGTGTGTGTGTGTGTGTGTGCATGTGGGCGTGTGTGTGCATGTGTGCCTTGTGTGTGTGTGTGCATGTGGGCGTGTGTGCCTTGTGTGTGTGTGTGTGTGTGCATGCATTTGTGTGTGCATGTGTGCCTTGTGTGTGTGTGTTCAGCCCTCACTTGGAGGAGACTGACCCCTGAGGAGAGGAGGCAGCATGGTGGTGAAGCTGCCAACCTCCCTTCGACTGCGCTGAAAGGAGCTCATCCTGAGGTCCACACCAGTCCTCCCTGGAGTGGGATTTGGTGGACACACCCTTGAGGTCCGCCAGACCTGTTCCCTAATTTCATCAGAAGCGACTAATCAAAGCCTGTTTCTCAGCCCTGAACAGTCCTCAGCCGGGAAAGCTTTTGGAAGTTGGAATTCTCTCTTCCTTCAAAGTCATTTCCAAGCATTACCCTTATGCCCCCATGGCACTTCCAGCTCCCCAGTGATGTTCTAGGCTCTTTGAGGTGACACTTGGCTGCTCTGACCTTTCAGAGGACTCAATTGAGAACCATGAAGGTTTTCCTACCTTGAGGCTGAGGCTAGCTTCACTAGAACAGGCTTAGCGCTGTAAGTTTGACCTGAGCACACGGTCATATTAGATGGCTCAGGGCAAGCTGGAACCTCTGTGTGTGAGAAAGAGGGAGGAATAATCGTATTTTTAAGTTAATACATGTGTGTGTGTGTGTGTGTGTGCGTGCGCGCGCGCAAGAAAGTGCTCATGCGAAGGTCAGAGGACAACTTCTAGGAATCAGTTTTCCATCCCCACCACGTGAGTTCAGGGATCGAGCCCCAGTCATCAAGCCTGCCACCCCCTTTGCTTGCCAACCCTCTTACTGGCCCCAAGTGCTTTAGCTTGTCTCCAATGTCTTGCTATACTCACTTAAATGGTTTTTTTTTTTAAATTTTGCTCCTGTTTGTAATTGACAGAAAGACAAGGTGACCATAAGAGGCCGCCAGACTTTGAAAAAAAGTCAATGACAATGTGTTGGATTTCTGTGATATGATGACTACAAACTGTACCCTGGAGCCACAGGCATCATAGGATAATGTCTGTATCATTTGATTAACAGGGGCACTTAGTGGATGAGCATGGAAGGGTTCTTCCCTTGACATGCCACTCCAGGAATACAACTCACGTGTGTGCCAGGCATTACGTCATCCATGCGCAGACAGGCCACACTCAAAGATCCTGAAGCATAATGCTGTCTCCTGTCCCGCCTGAGCACAGGCAAAGAGCAACTCTGTAGCAGACGCCCGTGCGACTCCCTAACTTTCCTACAGGATGCACCTCAGCCCTGCCTCCTCCTCTGAGCAGTCACTACCGCTGCTCAGACATGAAGCAAGAGACAATGATACGCCTGCCGTTTTTAAATATCTGGAGGATATTTGAGCTCAAGCATGACAACCCAAGCTATTCTGCAAATACAGCTTGTAACACTCTCCCACCTCTGGCTTGCCAAAAAAATGACAAGTTCATGGAGGTTTCTTTTACTAGTTTGTTTGTCTTAGGTCGCAAAACAAGCAGCAACTCTACCAGGGCATTCACAGTGGAAAATGGGACATTAGGATGCTAGTGCATGTTAGGGATGGAAAAGCTATTTGTCTTTGACAAGCTCACCAGCCAAGGGCAAGCATAGTATGCTTTGGAAAATGCCATTACTGGTCTGGTATCTGAACAGAGCACTGAGTATAGACAGAAATGAGAAAAGGAACAATTAGGGACTGACGTGATGGTTCCGTGGTTAAGAGCAGCCGTTGCTCTTGCAGGGGACTTGGTCGGATTCCCAGCACCCACGTGGTGGTTCACAACCATCCATAGCTTCAGTTCTGAGTATCTGATACCCTCTTCTGACCTCTCTGGGGACCAAACATGCACATGGTCTACATACACACATGCAGGCAAAACACTCTCACGTAAAATAAAACACATACATCGAATTTTTACAAAAGGGAGAATTTGAACTGACCTTGAAAGATGCTTGGAAAATTAGTTAGGCATGAAAAAAAACCAAAATAAACATACAAACCAAAAACAGTATAGAGAGGGAAGATTTACTTGGAGTCACCACTTAAGAGCTACTGTCCATCACTAGAGGCAAGGAATGGAGGTGGGAGCTGGTGGTGACCTGTTGAGGCCTGGTCCCCCAAGTTCCAGCGTCTGCCAGATAAGCCCCACATCCAAAAGATTTACCAGTCTCCTAATAGCACCACCCGCTGGGACTGAGTGTTGAGTTATGAGCCTGTGGGAGCATTCACACACAGACAGCTGTGCTGTTTGCCAAGCTCACTGAAGATGACAAGAACCTGCAGTGGAAAAGAAGCCAGGCAGGGAAGGATATGGGGCCAGTGTCCTGGAGGAGGTTTTAGCAGTTTCCTGGAGGAGGTTTTAGCAGTTTCCTGGAGGAGGTTTTAGCAGTGTCCTGGAGGAGGTTTTAGCAGTGTCCTGGAGGAGGTTTTAGCAGTTTCCTGGAGGAGGTTTTAGCAGTTTCCTGGAGGAGGTTTTAGCATTGTCCTGGAGGAGGTTTTAGCAGTGTCCTGGAGGGAGGTTTTAGCAGTTTCCTGGAGGGAGGTTTTAGCAGCGCAGACCTAGCTGCTGGGTACTCGGCCTCACTCAGGCGTCTTCTCCTCTGTCTGTCCAAATGCTTTTGCCTTCTGGGAGGTCTTTTTTCTGCTCACCAGAGACTGGGGTTCAGGCTACTGGACATGACCTGTAGTGTTATCACCCTGAGACACCACTAAGGTAGGCAAAGGCACTATTTAGAATCAAGACAGCTGGGGGTTTGCAACTAGTCAATACTGAACTAATATTTAACAATTCCTTTTTAAAAAAATGAAGTCCTCAAATTACCTTTAGTTGTTTAGTGAAGCTGATATCACGGGATGTCTGCTTGGGTGGTGCTGTGCGTGGGCAGAGGGGCGAGGGGAGGAATCGGAACCAGACAAAGGTGAAGTAGCCGTAGATAGCAAACTCAGCCCAGGTGGTTAAACTCATACCCACACCAGGCCAAGCAGGTGAATGCCATATCCGGGCCATTGAGAGTGGGGAGCTCACCTGGGTCAGATGGTAAGGAATGAAACTCCAGAATCAGGCCTGAGCACGAGCAGAGGCTTGAACAGCTGTGTGCGTATCCTGATGGAACACCCAGAGGGGGAGGCACGGGAATGCTTGGTCTAACGGCCAGAAAGCTGATGGGGAAAAATGATGTGGTCAGGAGCAGTGGCGAGAAGCCCAGGAGAGGAGTCTGCCCCGAATGGTCCAGACATCCGAGAACCTCCAGAGACGGTTATTTGTAGATGTGTGCCTATTGGCTTTTTCCCGGCACCCACGTCTCCCCACAGCTCCCTGCTCACCAAGCTTCCTGGCCATATTGCTCCCCCAGACTGACCTCTGACCCTCTGACCTTGACACCCGGCTTAGACTGCCTCTCCTACGCGGCATGCCCATCACTGCCTTGTCTTCGGTGCAAGCGTTGGAGCTCCCGTCTCTTCCCTGTGTCCATCAATGCCCTCATCCAGGGACCCTGCTCATTTATGTCTCCTAAGCATCCCGGCCAGCGCTCGGAGTGCTCTGTGTCCCCAGTCTGTTCTCAGAAGGTGACAGGAGGATCTTCAAGATCATCCAGGACTTACGTGCTGGAGGTCCTCGGAGCAGCGGGGATGCTGCTATGGGGCAAGACATAGCTTCCACCCGTCCTCAGACAAACTGATCTTGTCTCTTTGGGGGTTTGTACTACTATGTGGATACAATTACATATTGCTATGAGCTTTCTGTTGGCTTAAGGACTCTGTCTTGACCTCAGGAGAAGCATGGGCTCTGTCATTGAGCAGAAGAGGAATGTGGGGGGCTCTGGCAAGGCACATATAGATTTTATAGCAAAGGCTAAGCAACTAGAGGGAGCACAGAGAACATTCAGGTGGGCTCGTCTGGGGTTAGTTACCTATTAGTAAAAACTCCATCAGGTGTGTCGAACCTGTGGCCAGTATCGCTACAAATGTGGCCTATCACAAAAGAATAAACCCACTTAAAATGTTTTCAATGTTTCGCTCACTTGGTGGCACCATCCTCAAGTGTGAACTTTGTAGGTGACAAGGCCATATTCATAAAGGATAAATCCTTCACAGATTCCCCAACTCTCTCAAACTAAACAAACTGGCCACTCTGTCTGTCCCCGGACACTATGGTTAGGGTGGTCAGGTCTGGGTCACAAATCCCATCTGATGATAATGTATAAGGGAGTATGACGTGCTCACAGGGGCTGTGTCACCTGCTCTGTCTCCAGTGCCCCATCCAAAACACGCAGGGCGAGGACTGGGGATCTGCGTCCTTAGACCAGGGAATGGAGTTTGGGGCGGCACAGGCTGAGCCGCAGGCCTCCGGACCAGCCTTCCCTACTCCTTGGTCTCAGTGACCCCTCCTTTCTAAAGGTCCCTAACCACAAGTTCAGTGGGAGCTAATTTACAGCATCGCTCTGTGTAGAAACCCTCTCCTCACCTCTTCCCCTCAGCACATAATCCTCAGAAGTCTCCCTCCCCAAATGGAGCTCCTTCAAGGCAGGGGCTCCCCCTCTGGACCCTGAGCCCCGAGCCCAAGGCTTGTCACAAGTGGTGTTTGATGAATGACTGCGGGAATGAACGCATGTGAATTTCAGGACTGTGTTCCAGGCTGGCCTTGATCTCTTGCACCCAGAGAGAAACGCATCTGCACCTGGAAACGGTACAGTTTGGGCCACGCTGTTTGGACGGCAGTGTTGCTGAGGTTGGAGTCCCAGGTGGATCACAAAGACTGAGTATGAAGTGACTTCACCTTCCTGGAGGAGCTGCCATGGCCCTGAGGATTGGCGTCGGCAATGCTTCCAAACCCTAAGGGTAGAGCTCCCCCTTCACCCTGAGGCCCCGGGAGGATCCTGCCACATCCAGTGTTAGAATCACGGCTCTTCTTTTTCCTCCTTCCCCTCTCCCAACAGCCTCTTTGCTCCTCGTTTCGCTTTCCTTTCCCATCCTCTCTAGAATTCCCAGACCACTGCCATAAGCAGAGCCTTCAAAACCCGACTTCACTCATGCTGCGAAAACCCCGGGGCGGGGCGGGGGGGACGCCAGGGCTTCCCTGGCAACTTGGAAGTTCTTCAAACTGGAACTGAAGTTTGCGCCACTGTCCGCCTGCAAGCTTACATGCAGCGGCATGGGCCCCGTGTGTGAGCCACCCCTGCCCGGTGTGTGAGCCGCCTCCCACCCGCACCGCTCTCCCGTTGCCTGCTCTGCGCGCAGCCTGTGGGGCATCTTCTCATGTTTTCGCTCCTCATAAGCACGCTCCTTCCGTGAACTATCCGTATTTCTAGTAAGGTTTCGTCTGAGCTCTAAGACCCCAATGGAGAAGTTTCCTTGGGCAATGCTGGTGGTTAATCACCCCCCTACACACAGGTGCGCACGCATGCGTGTGCGCACATACACGCACCCACACAGAGTTCAGGGAACATCAGGGGGTGGGCGATGTAAAGACTTGAGTGCCCCAAGTCAGGAAGACCAGTGTTTAACTGCCTTCTGGGTATGGCAGATGTGCTGACTCGTGAACTCACAGCAGCTCTGGTTGCCTGTACAAGACCTACACAAGATCAAGCCAGTCACATTCTAGCACGAAGCAGGAAAGGCTCATGAGCCCTTACCTGAAATGGAGACACTCGTGACAGTTAGTGGGAGGGAGAGAGGAACAGTTGTTCTTTAAGGCTTGTGGCCTCTGGTAGTCAGCCATGCTCCACGGGGTGGTCCCACACCCAGGAGTGTACAGGCAGCACAAAGCGGATCTGGTAAGTTATAACGTTTTTGTAAAAGAGGACATGAGTTTGGGAAGTGGAATGGGGGAGGGGGAGGGTTGGATCTGGGAGGAGTTAGGAGGAGTGGGGGTGAATATAATCAAAATACACTGAATGCACACATGAAATTCTTGAAGAATTAATGAAAGCATTGATTTAAAAAAAAGAAAAGCTGGGCTGGATTTGCGGATGGGTATTGTTTAAAACTGGGTTTTCATGCTGGGGAAAAACCACAGAGACAGCTGACCTGAGCTAGTGGGAGCTCATGCACTATGGACTGACAGCTGCGGAACCTGCATGGGACAGACCCAGACCCTCTGAATGTGGGTGACAGTTATGGGGGGGCTGGTCCCGGCACCAGGACCTAACCCCGTGGCATGAACTGGCTTTTGGAGCCCATTCTCTATGGTGGGGACACCTTGCTCAGTCATGCTACAGGGGGGAGGGGCTTGGTCCTGCCTCAACTTGAAATGCCAGACTTTGGGACTTTGGACTCCCCAAGGAAGGCCTTACCCTCTCTGAGGAGTAGCTGGGGGTGAGGAGGAGGGGGAAGCAGAAGAAGGGGAGGGAGGGGGAACTGGGGTTAGTATGTAAAATAAAAAATTTGGATAAAAACTTAATTAAAATCAAGGAAAGCCGTGCCCGTGTTTGCCGCTGGTCCTCCCTCGACTTTGTCCAGTGCTTCATTTCCCTCGGCTGGAAGCACAGACTCTGAGATCGACAATTAATAAATGGAACCTCTTGAAACCGAGAAACTTCTGTAAAGCAAAGAACACATCAACAAGACAAAAAAGCTCCCTACAGAATGGGAAAAGACCTTCACCAACCCCACATCTGACAGAAGGCTGATCTCCAAAATATACAAGAACTGAAGAAACTAGAAATCAAGCTACCAAATAATCCAATTAAAAATGGATTCAGAGCCAGGCGTTGGTGGCACACGCCTTTAATCCCCATCAAAATCCCAGCACAAGCACTCGGGAGGCAGAGGCAGGCAGATCTCTGTGAATTCGAGGCCAGCCTGGTCTACAGAGCCAGTTCCAGGACAGCCTCCAAAACAACACAGAGAAACCCTGTCTCGAAAAAACAAAATAAATCAATAAATGGAATACAGATCTAAACAGAACAATCTCAAATGGGGGAAAGACACTTAAGGAAATGATCAACATCCTTAGTCTTCAGGGAAATGCAAATCAAAACCACTTTGAGATTCCATCTTATACCGATCACAATGACAGCTTATGCTGGAAAGGATGTGGAGACAGGGGAACACTCCTCCATTGCTGGTGGGAGTACAAACTAGTACAGCCACTTTGGAAGTCAGTATGTCAATTTCTCAGAAAATTTAGGGATCAACCCACCTCAAGACCCTGCAATACCACTGCTGGGCATATACTCAAAGGAGACACAGTCACACCACAAGGATGTTTGCTCCACTATGTTCATAGCAACATCATTTGTAATAGCCAGAACCTGGAAACAACCTAGATGGCCCTCAACTGAAGAATGGATAAAGAAAATGTGGTACATTTACACTATGGAGTACTACTCAGCAGTAAGAAACAAAAAATTTGCAGGCAAATGAACAAAACCATCTTAAGTGAGGTAACCTAAAACCAGAAAAACAAATAGTGTATGTACTCACTCAGACATAAAGCAAAAGATACCCAACCTACAATCCACAACCCCAGAAAAGCTAGGATCTTCTTCCAGAAACAAATGGAAGCAGATGCAGAAATCCACAACTAACCATTGGGCCAAGCTCCTGGAGTACAATCAAAGTGAGGGAGGAGTGATAATATGAACAGAGGAATCAAGACCATGATGGGGAAACCCACAGAGTCAGCTGACCCGAGCTACTGAGAGATCACTGACTCAGGTCTGACAAATGGGGAACCTGAATAAGACTAAACTAGACTCCCTTAATATAGGTGACAATGGTGTGACTGGGACAATTTATGAGGCCACCAGCAGTGGGTCCAAGATCTAACTCTAATGCACAAACTGACTTAGTGGAGCCCTTTCTATATGGAGAGATACCTTGCCCAGTCTAGACACAGGGGTGTGGGGGTGGAGAGGTCCCTTGGTCCTGCCTCAACGAGATGGTGAGACAGACTTAGTAGACTTTCTAGGGGAGGCTTTACCCTCTCTATGGAGCAGATGGGAGTCAGAGGTGGGGTGAGCAGGAAGAGAGGAGGGAGGGGGGACAGCGATTGGAATCTAAAAAAATAAATTAATAATAATAATAATAGACCAAAGTGGATTATTAGTGACTGAGGAAGATACCTGAGGCTTGACTCCAGCCTCCACATACATGTGCACATGTGTGTACATGAGTCAGCACACTCACATATACCTGAGCATACTACACACACACAGTAAATCAGCAAATAAATAAGACTGGAGGAGAGCCTGGGGCCTGGAAGGGGCGAGTAGCCAGTGCGGTTTCAGTGGAAGGGGCCAGTAGCCAGTGCGATTTCAGTGGAAGGGGCCAGTAGCCAGTGCGATTTCAGTGGAAGGGGCCAGTAGCCAGTGCGATTTCAGTGGAAGGGGCCAGTAGCCAGTGCGATTTCAGAACGCTTGACTCTTTTTTCAGTCTGGCTGTGGGTACTGTTTGTATCTTTTGACTTGCCAGCTAGTGGAACCTCATTTCCACTTTGGCAAAGTCAAAGTAATCTGGCTGAGGCTACAGAGGACACTGATTATGTGGACTCCGCATTAGGAGTGGGAGCAAGCATTTGACGGCCCTTTAAGGACAGGATTCTCTTTGAACTGCAACTAAAACATTTTTCCTTCTCGCTTCCAGACTTGCAACCTTGTTTCTCGAACGAGGGCCCAACAGGATAGGCGGCATCTACAAGAAGGCGATTTATAGACACTTCACAGATGGGAGCTACTCCACGGAGATCCCCAAGCCCCCGTGGATGGGGTTCCTGGGTCCCATCCTGAGGGCGGAAGTGGGCGACGTGATCGTGATCCACCTGAAGAACTTCGCTTCCAGGCCTTACTCTTTGCACCCTCACGGTGTCTTCTACAACAAGGATTCCGAAGGTGATTCTCCTTCCTGTCGCCGGCGCCTCGTTCCTATTTCACCAGCGGGATAACCGGTTGAAACCACGAAGGGTGCAAAGAGCATTGATTCTGAAGCTCGCTGCCCCGCTCTGCTCTCCCGACATGCACCTGTCACTCCTTTCTATTGCATTTCTCCTCTTCATTCCCACTTTCTTTTCTTTTTCTTTTCTGAGAGAGTTTCGCATAGCTGAGGCTGACCCTCGGTTTCTGGTCTGCTGCCTCCACTCCGCACTGGCGACGGCCGCCTCTCCTGTCTGCAGTGACAGCCTGGGCCGTGGGGTGGCTGTCTCAGTGCTCTCTCCGGAGTTTCCTCTGTGCAGCATTCTTGTCCTCCCTCTTGGCCCTCCAGAGTTTCCCGATTGCTCACTCATTTAAAACCGAAAGCACT